TCACAAATTCCAATGTGCAGAACATTCTTGGGGTAGCTATTTTTTGAAGGCCCCCTTTTCCTTAGCTGCCTCTAAAATGTGGTGTCCTCTAGGCCCAGTTTCATCTGACAGTGAGATATGACTGAAAGGAATGTCTGCGCTGCCTCCAACTCCACCCCATGGCTTTGAAGACATTACTCTGCCCTGATGTCGGTATGACAGACGTTCCTTTTGCAGTACTAGACCCCAGGCAGGTCTGTGAAGCACAGCCCTGGCTTTCTATATGATTTCAGGCAGCTTGCTGTGAGCTCTGGGACCTCTAGAAGGCTCCAGGGACTTCCTGAGGCCCAGCAACACAGGAAACATCACATGGAACCCGGTTAGCATATGAGTTCCGACAGCTGTGAATTGCACCTGGCCACTAAAGGCCTCCTGTCTCCACTCTGGAATTCTGAGCAACTCAGCAAAAAGAAAGGTGAATTCCTCTATCCCATTCCACACTAGAAGAGTTAGGGTACATGAATCATCTTATGTTTCTCATCTGTTGAGACTGGATATTCTAGAACTTGCCATCAATGGGGAACTGGGCGGGGTTGCTCTCTTCTTCCTATTGGTTTGAACAATAACTGACTGTAGCCTGTGTCTTCCTTTCTAATGATGTCTACTGGGCTCGTACACATACTGTGTACATGAATACGATGGTGAGGAGTCTGAGTTTCAGAAGGATCATTGTAAGTGATCAACAGAGCAAACACAGCCAGCTCAGAAGCTATGCAGCCGGGCCCACATTTGAATCCAGCTTCATATTGCACAGTTGGGTGACTTGGGCAAGTCATTGCATTTTTTCCTAAAACAGTTTCCTTCTCTGTGATAATGGAGATAAAGGAGCGTGAGAGGCATTAAAAGATGATCGATATGAAGGATGAGAACACAGACTACTTCATAGTCTCTTGGTTAATATTAGTTTTTCTTTTTCTTCATGCTGAAGCTCCTCAAAGGAAGCAGAAATAAGACGTAATGGAAACGTTGCCAAGAGTTCATCTGACCCCATTTACTTTCTGCTACTAGATACTCCAAAACTACCCATGATGGCAGGTTGGAGTCGGGTGACTGAGTTCTGATCAATGGGATATGGGCCCAAAGCATGCACACTGGATCTAGGCCTGCTGTTTACAGGTTCTCATCCCTGGTCTCTCTCATTTGTACCATCAGGAATGAAGAAGCCTGGGATGCCAAAGCCACAAGACGCAAGAATCTTAGCATGGAGAGGGCGTGAAGGGACAACTGCCAACCTGTGCTGGCCAGAGAGGGAAAGCCGATAGCCTATTGCATCGAGCCACTGACATGTCAGGGAGGAGCTGGTCAGTCAAGATGCAATGAACAGTCCTAGCTTGAGAGAGATGCTGGTATAACATACGCATTAAATGCTCCCCTAACCTGCCCCAGGCTTGTGTTGAATGGCGACTCCCCGGCTGAGATGGCACTATTTGAGGAGGCAGAAACTTTGGGAGGTGGACCTAGCAAGAGGAAACAGGTCAGTGGGAGGCATGCCTTTGAAGGGTATCACCAATCCTTGGTCCTTTTCTCTCCTCTCTGCTTCCTGTCTACCAGGGGCCAACACCCTCTCCACTATGACTGATGGGAACTCTGAGTTACAATACACAATTCCCTCTTAAATTGCTCTGCCGAGGATTGGACCACCACTCTAGAAGACTAATATTCATGGGCAGTGTATTTTTTTCATCAAGAGGAAAGTAATCGTTGGAACCTTAAAATAAAAGTAACTGCTGACTTCTTGCACGATTCTCTGTTGGAACCAGACAGCTGTGCTGGCATGGGGCAGGTCTAGTCACAGGAAAACCTGATGGTGTAGACCCTGCTCTTCACGAATAGCATCACAGCCATTCCATCTCCATGCCCAGAGCCTTGCATGATCCTGTGGATTAAAAACATCTTTTCCATAAATTTCAGTAAGTGGCAGTCAATCTCTGCAGCAGAAACATATTCTCGTTTAAAATTGCACATCACAGCATGTGTCATGTCTGGGGACCACCTGTTGAAGGGTGCAGTCATTTGTAATTAAGGAAATACAAGGTCATAAATGATCACAGCCAGTCCTTGTTAGAATGTGGACACATATGTTTAAACAAACACTACACTCCCTAGCCCATGACTGTCCTATGCCAATGGGCCAGAAATCAATCCTTAAATGTTTTTGAAGACCTTAAGGTCTTTGCATCATCTACTGTCCCCTGTCTGGAATAAATAGGAATGTCCACACTTACAGTGGCTAGCTCTTTCTTTCTTCTTCTGCAAGGTTTTATGGAACCCAGCATTCCTTCTGTGTGAGTGCAGACTTACATATTTCCAAAAGGTCCTACTTTAAGTAAATTTCAGCCTCGTGTCTTCCTCTGCAATGTCTGCCATTTGTTAATGGAGGCAGCGACGGCAGCGAGAATCAGCAGGGCAAATACATTAAAACTCACTGAAGGGCTGGGGTGTAGTACGGCTAATATTAACCAAGAGCTTGTGAAGCAGTAGTCTGCCTTCCCATCCTTCATACTCATCACGCCCTAGGTATTGCTAAACTCTCTGCAGGATCACTAAAAAAATATCTTAAACGAAGAAGAGATGAGTAAAAGCCAACGAATGTTGCTCCATAAAGAAGGGCCCATTGCTGCCCATGGAGTTTCCTACTCAGTATAACTTCTTAAGAATTCCCTCACTTTTCTTTACAGCTGTCAGAGATACACAAGAATGCTATCAATAAAGTCATTAGCAGCTGGAGAGATGGCTCAGGTGGTCAGATGCTTATCTTGCAAATAGAGGACCTAAATTCAAATGCCAGAATCCACACTGAAGAAAGCCAGGTGTGATAATGTGTTTGTAATCCCAGCACTGAGGAGGTGGAGACAGGGGGACCCCTGGGGCTCACTGGCCAGCAGCTTAGTTTAAAGAGGCCTTTGTCTCAAGAACTAAGGAGGGTGGTACTTGAGGCACCAAGACTATCCTCTGGTTTTTATACATACATGCAAATGTGCACATATACACACGCATACAATAAATAAGTAAATAAATAAATGAATCAATGAAGAAAGAAGAAAGAGAGAGAGAGAAAGAAAGAAAGAAAGAAAGAGAGGAGGGAGGGAGGGAGGAAGAAGAAAGGAAAAGGAAGGAAGGAAGGAAGGAAGGAAGGAAGGAAGGAAGGAAGGAAGGAAGGAAGGAAGGAAGAAATCAAGCAAGCCATTAAACCATTGGAAAAAACAATTAACATGTCCAGCCTAGAAGAGGAATTCTTTCTGCTGCAGCCTGACCTGTGAGGTGTGGTGGTTTGGATGAAAATGGCCCCAACAGGCTCACATGTTTGAATGTTTGGTCCCCAGTTTGTGGAACTGTTTGGGAAGGATAAGGAGGTGTGGTCTTGTTGGGGGAGGTGTGTCTCTACGGTGGGATTTTAAGGCTTCACGTGCCCACACTTGGCCCAGTTTTGCTCTCTACATGCAACTTTCGGATCAGACATAAGCACTCAGCCTGTGCTCCAGCACTGTGCCCGCTTCAGCCAGTGCTCCAGCACTGTGCCCTCCTCAGCCAGTGCTCCAGCACTGTGCCCGCCTCAGCCAGTGCTCCAGGTGTGCTTGCCTCAGCCAGTGCTCCAGGTGTGCCTGCCTCAGCCAGTGCTCTAGGTGTGCCCACCTCAGCCAGTGCTCCAGCACTGTGCCCACTTCAGCCAGTGCTCCAGCACTGTGCCCACTTTCCTGCCACCACACTCTTGGCCATGGTGGCTTGGTCATGGTGCTTTGTCACAGTAATAGAGTAAGGAAGGCAAGAGGCAACAGAACATTCTAAATCTGACAGGCAGAAGCCTACCACCCACCTTGATGATACCTGGCAACCACTGAGTTTAGCCAATTTAAGTCCCATCCAGTAAAATACAGGATGCTTAGGTACACTGGGATTCCAGGGGATGTGTTTTTAAAGACATAAATATGGCCCAAATATCACATGGGACACACACTAAAAATTATCCTGGTGTTAATCTGGAGATTAAATTTAACTCGGCATCCTATACTGTTTGTCAGAGCTGAGGCTCTCCCTGGTCAGGAATGAGTATCCGTTCTCATTTCTCTGTAAAGCCAGACTTTTCTTAGATGGAATGATGTTCTATGCTGAACTGAATGTCATTTGATATGGCCAGGATCCAACAACTCCTCAGTTTTGCCCTGTAAGACATCTCTCTTTCCAAGAGCTGTAGGTAGGGGCCCAGGGGTAGTGTTTGTTCATGGAAGACATCATGCTAACAGTAATCACCAGACACCATAGGCAGGGCAGTGGCCTATCCCCTTAGAAAACAGCGGCCTATTGACCTTGGCCCCAGAGAGTGGGATGGGGGAAGGGTACCTTTGGGAAGTTGAAGCATGGCGAGGGAAGAGCATGGCTGTCAGCCCTTGATGAACCTCCATCCCAGACAGAAGGGCTAAAATGTGAAATCTAACAGGAGTGGGGGTGCTGCATGACCAGAGAGGAGAAATATAAAGGTGACGGCCACCCCTGAATTCTGCCAACGGCATTCGAAAAGCAAAAAAGCAAAGCGTGCACCAGCCATTGCTCTGCAAAGGCACTTTTCAGGTGATGAACACAGCTGTGACATGCAGAGCCTGGAGTGGAGACTCATTATCCAGTCAGCGTTAGCTACCTGACAATCCCTGGGCCAGCGAGAGACCCTGCTTCAAAGAGAGCGAGGGAGACAGCCCTGGAGGAACAGCAGCCCGAGGCTGTCCTCTGGCCTTCACACACGAGTGCACATGCACACACACAAGCACCCACACTCCTGCACAAGCACACACACCCTAGGAGACACAGAGAAGCAAGCACAGTTAGCTCAGGTCCTATTGCAGGCCTTAGTTCCAGTGCAGTGACAGCCACCCCCCCTGAGGGCTCAGCCCAGCACGGGTGGGCTTCGGGCACCTGTGCCCACTGTGACATTTGAGTAACGAAAAACAACCAGCAAAACAAGGCCCTGGTTCAGTTCATTGCAATTTATTTAATTTAAAAATAAAGACAGAAACAAAAAAATGACAAAAATCAGATTCCAATAAAAAAATGAACACTTTGGGTAATTAGCCAGCTTTTATTTTATTTTCCCTGTAGGCTGTTCTCAAACCAGTCAATTAAATGAAGACCGATTTTGACCGGAGCCATAAAAGCATGCTGCACCAATTAAATTACACCAATATATTATTATAATACCTTTGAAATGCCTTTTAGACCAATAAATAAAAGACAAATTCAAATTAAAGTCAACTTTTTATTACCAAAAAATATAGAAATTAAATAAAAGTCACAACATGGATTTAAAAAAAAAATGTGCAGTCAAGTTTTCTCGCTCTCCTTTCCTTTTTTTTTTTCCCTCTTTTTTTTTTCTTCTTCTTCCTAGGAATGATACCATGCCAGTAAATCCCCACAGAACGTTTCCAGTTTGGCAGCAAGCAGTCAGTCCATCATTCACATTTGTACTCAAGACAGCAGGCCGGGGCACAACCCGCCCGAATTTCACCCTGCAGAGCGCTCCTGTCATAAGGAGTGCCTGGTCACAGAGACCAAGTTCAGAGGGAGTTTAGTCATGTTGCCTAGGGTCCTGAAGCACTTTCCCAAAAACTGATTATGCCTTGAAGTTTACCTGTAAAACGAAGTCCAATCCCACCCTTTGGGCAGGTGTGTAAACGAAGACCACGAGAGGACCCGGGAAGCCAGGGAAGGACCAGGAGGGCTGACAGCCCGTCTGCCCGTCTGCCCGTCGGGGCCATCCACATGTCGCTCACTAGCGACTCCAGGAAAATGAGTTAAGCATACCATCTTTGGCTGGGGATCAGCTTGTAGGGAACAGGACTTCATTGGGAAGCTGCTTGTTAGGGGTCTACTCTGTTCTAACTCTTCCTTGCAGGGACAGTCGGCATCTGACTGAGGAGCAGACGGCAGGACCGAGCCTGGCCTTGGGAAACCACCCACCCACTTCTCCAGCCTCCACATGATGGAAGCAGCTCTCACACCACCGTGTGGGCCCGAGACCACCAGATCTTACAGCAGTCCTGAACTCCATTCAGGGTGTCCCAGAACGGAGGACAGACCAGAGCCTCTGTTCTGGGTGGGAAACCTGTTTTTCCGTTGCCTTCGAACATTCTGGTGACCGGGAAGAGAGAAGGCAGAGGAGAATGGGTTTCCTAATGGAGTCACCAGAATGATGGGAAATACTAACCAGATCATCCCACCAGCCAGCAATGGCTGCTATGCCTGAGACCAGCTGCATGCTCAGCGCCAGCAGTGAAGAAGCAGGGGCTGTTCACAGGAGGAGGCAGGGGGATGGGGGATCAGAAGTTGCATGCTGCCATCTACGCAGCCCCAAACCCACAAACCCAATTCTCTACCTACAGATTTTTCTCCCTTTTTGCCCATACCAGAGTTCAGGAAGGGGGTGGAACTGAGAGAAAGGAATCCAAGCAGCTTCCCAAAATATCCTGCTCAGCTCAACCCAAAGAAAGGCACAGGCCTAAAGCCGGAGTGGGTGGTACACAGAGATGCAGAACAGTCCTGGAAAAGCAGGGCAGCATCTTCCTGACAACGTTCTCAGTGCTGTGGCAGACTCTGGGTCGTCTTCCTCCACTCCCTCTCCGAGAGGCTATCAGAAGGCAGTCACCTTAGAATAAGGATTCTAATTTGCCCAAGCCAGTGGATTCCAAGGTCAGAGCAAAAAGACCATCTCAACCCCAGTATCACCAGGATGCTGACTGTGGGGATGATGTCACCTGGAATCTTAGTGTCTGGAGATTAGATTAACTAGCTTGAACATTTTGAAGCATCCTGTCACACCTCTTCTCTGCCTCCTCCAGAGCCATCTGGATAACTCCTGAAGAAATGTCCCTACGCTTTCCCCAACACTCTCCTCTTTCAACATCTTGTTCCCTGGATGGATGGAACTTGTCTTCTCCCCACAATGCAGGAGAGCAGAGCCACAAGACACAAGACAGAGCGCTTAGGATAGAGGAGACAAGAACCTTCAATCAAACCGCACCTTCTGCATCCACATGCCCACCTACACACTAGCTCCCTAAAAGCAACCCATGTACTGTTAAGGTTCCACACTTCTGGATGGACAGAGGCCACAGCTGAACCAGCAATCCTCTGGAGGCCCTGACCACATCACATCCAATTAAAACATCCATGCAGGTGAGAAGGCAAGAGGCGATGTTCCAGTTAATACCGAGACCTTTAAGAAAGTGGTAAGTTGCCCCTGGCTGGTATGCCTCACCTTCCATCAAACTGTGCAAAAGTCACAGCGGCTGTTTGCCCTGTCGACACCAAGCCCTGGCCTCTCACACTACCATCCTTCTCTTTGCCCACTTTCATGTTATGCTAAAGAACCAGGCAGGAAAGAGGAAGGAGATCCTGGGAAGTCAAAGACTTCCCACCACCTGCCTATGTCCTTAGCAAAGTTCAAAGCATTTGCTCTCAGCAAGTCCCTCTGTCTTCTACTCAAGGTCCAGGAGCAAATTAACCAATGCCATGGTCGGCCATGAAGGGGTCAGCTGGCACCTCAGGGCTCTGTAACCTAACTCCCAGGGCTCAGGCCTGGCAGGAGAGCTGTTATTGCCATTCCTGATCCCATGGCAGTTACCGGTACTCAGTCACAGCACCCTGTGCTGTGCCTAGGCTACTCAAAACAGCACACAGTACAGATATTAACTGATGACCAAGTCAAGCTCAGGGTGCTGAAATCTTGCCAGCCCCTATGTAGTCAGACCAGGCTTGCTAATGTATTCACCCAAAGCAGATGGTCTCAGTCTTCCTGCCCCTTCTCCAAAAATGTCTAGAAGACTTCTAGGGAAACACCCCCTTCCCCATAATGCCCCCTCCCACTTCACGCTGGCAACATCGCCTTCCCTGGGGAGCCAAGCCTATGTGAGATGCCATATGGGAATGCCAGTTAGGACCCACATTCTGAACTGGTAAAGAACCATTTCCATCCCTTTTAGGTGCAGACTCAAGGCTGCAAACACTGGCCGGGCCAGACCTTACCAGTTATCAGTCCTTTTCCAGTCCATTGCCATGGCCAGCAAAGAGGTAACCAGCCTGAAGCTTAGTTCTGTTCCCCAACTCCCTTAGACCCGCCCACCCACCCATCCCATCCTCTGTGCACTGAGGGGCTAGTTGAGCTTGCTGCAGATCTCCAGGGCTTTTTTATACACCTGAGTCACATCGTCCATATCAGTGAGGAGGGAGAAGCTACTGTCTGCCAGCCGGTTCCGGTACCGCTTCAGGTGCTGGGGCCGGGGCCGGTTGTGGGAGGTCTCAAAGTCCTGAAGCTGGAGGAAATTTTCAGCAGAGACGCAGCTGCGGATGCGCTGGCGGGCAGGACGATTCTCCTGGAGATCTAACAAGTCAAAAGAGTCACTGGACAGGACACTGTCATCGCTGATGACACTGGACGGGCGGCTGTAGCTCCGGGAGACACCGTCAGGGTGGACACCAGGAGCTGACAAGGATTCCAGTGTGGGCATTTCGGGGCCGGCGAGGCCAGGGTCTGTGGCACCATCGGAGTACCTGCTGCTGTGTTTCAAGATGCCCTTCCTCCGGCAGGACAGGCTGTGGGAAGTCCCCCGGGCTGCCTCCGAGGAAGGGGAAGAGAGGCCACTGCCGATGATGACGTCATTACTGTCCAGCAGCTCTGAAGACTCGCTGCGCTCCGGGGATGAATAATAACCAGATTCTCTCTGCTGGGTCTTTTTCAAGATGCCTTTCTTGGGCATCGTGGCTGACTGTTTGAGGCTGAGCTTCCCTGACATCTCTGCCTCAGGGGAAATGGGGAGGGGGATGCCAGTCCGGCACAAATCTTGCTCCATTTTGAAAGGAGACGGTAAGGTGGGGCCCACGATGCCTTCGATGAAGCCGGTGCTGTGGGAGCGATGCTCACTGTTGCTCCGTTTCTTCAGAATTCCCTTGGGCCGCTTGGAACTCAGCTTGGATGGGCTTTCAGGTACGGCGTCCTGGCCAGACGGGGGAAAGTCATTTTCCTTTTTGGACTTCTTCAGCGACCGCTGCCGCTCCAGCACAACCTCAGAGGCTCCGGGTTTGGCCAGGCCCTTCATCTTGGCTTCAGCCTCAGCCTGCAGCCCGGCAGAACGATGGTGCCAATCAATGATCCGTGCCAAGAGCGGCGACTCGGAGTCCGTGAGGGCATCACAGTCACAGACACTGCTCTTGTAGCCCCAGTTCACCCACCAGTGGTTGGCAATGTCCTCGATGGTGGCCCTGCGATCCGGGTTTACCATGAGCATCCACCGAATGAGTCCTCGGGCATCTAAGGGGTGAAAGACAAAAACCGTCAGGCTATCCATGGGAGCTTTTGGCAGGGGACTCTCAATGAATGGTTACAGAGACATGCACACTTCAAGCAAAAAAAAAGGATCCATTGGAGTGTGCCAGCCTCGTGCTGAAGCAGGAAGCCAGTCTTTAGACCACACAACACAAACTTAACCAAGGCTCAGGACCACAGCCACAGAGCGGTCCCATCCTGACTTGTTTTCCTTTCCCTTCTGGGGTACATCTTCCCATGTGTCAAGTGCACGTGTGTGCTGGTGCATACATCTGTGTGTATGTGGAGACCAGAGGACAACTTCTGGAAACCCTTCCTCAAGCCCATCAGCCCTTTTCTTTTAAGACGGGGTCTCCCACTGGCCTGGACCTCACCGAGTAGGCCTGGCTGGCTGACCAGTCAACCCCAGGGGCCCATCTATTTATAACTCAGCACCAGCAGATCCTAATTGTGCATTATCATGCCAGGTGTTTGGGGGTGAGTTCTTAGGACCACACTCATGTTTTCATGCCTACTATCTGCTTTTCCACATGTGAAGAAATGTCCTGGAACTACAGATCTCTCTGTCACCCCAGATCTGCATCAAGTCCAAAAGGCCAGGTAATTGGGAAAGAATTCAAACTCAATCTCACTACAGCTTTGGTCAGTATCATTCTTACTAAAACAAAAAGCAGGTGTTCACCAGAAGCCTCCCAGAGATGGGTACATGTAAACACACAGTCCTCAGTCACCTGGAAAAGGTGCTGGAGGCAGAGGATGGAGGGAGAGACAGACGCTCACCTGTGCCAGGTGTGGCTCTTACCTGACACACCTGGGCAGGGAGAACAGCTTCACCCATGGCTGGCCCCACTCCCAAGGTCTTAGCCAGGATCTGAAAGCCACACCCAGTGAGCTCACCTCCTGTGGCTGACATAAGCCCTATTGATATCCAACAAACCAAGGGAGGGCTGATCTTTATCTGCTACCCAGGTGGCCACAGCCTTTCTTAAAAAAAAAAAAAAAAAAAGTCCCTTTGTAAATTCTATTGCCAGGGATATAGGGGAAAGGCCCCCAAGGATGCTGAAGAAGCCACAGGAGCCAACCTCACAGCTGATAAACTTTCAGGATCAAGCCGTGCCCTGCGCCTCACCTGACACTGAGTTTTACCCTGGGAGGCTGCCTCCTCCCATCAGCCAAGTCTAAAGGCTGGTAAGAGGCTGGCAGAGCCCAGCAATGGGGACAGAGTGACCGACAGTCCTGAGAAAGGACGGAGTGACCAACCACTCGGTAAGGATTTCCTGAACTCTTACAAGGTGCCAGGAAGTTTACTGGTACCAGTTAGTGAGTAAAAGACCAGCACCACAGAAGTCCCGTCTGTCTGTCAATCTGTCTATCCTCTATCTCCCTCCCTCCCTCTCCCACCCTCATCTGTCCACCACTTACCTACCTACCCACCCATGTTAGTCCTCATCTTTCTACACTGGCAAATTGATCTAAATTTGTTGGCAAGTCCCAAGCCACTGCCCACAGCTCTTCTGCAGGCATCCTGTGGACACAGAGCAGCGACGTCCCGGGCTCTGAAGCAGGCATGCCTGCTGCTCCAGCTGCTGCTCTCAGGCTGAAAACATGCAGCCCTTTCTCCTTTTGCTTAGTGCTCAGTTTGTCACATTTTTGTTCTTCCTGATAGAAATCTGCCATTTAAAATGCACCCTCCCCGCCCCCCACCACACAAGGCAGAAGTTCTGTATACTGTCCTCAAATGCAAGAAGACCATGATGGAGAAAACATGTGTGGTAGATAAACTTCATCAGACATGAGTAAAGGTGCCATTGGCCACTGAATTTGAGGTTAACAGATCAAAAATGCATACTAAATGAGATGTTCCTAAACAAAAATATAGCAAAAAAATGTTACATACTGATAAAGACAAAAGTACTTATCAGGCTCGGAGACTTAAAGCTAAGCCTATGTGTCCCCTAGAAACCAGGAATGGTTCAATATTCACTCGTTTTGTGTTTGTAACAATTTTATAAAACAAATGTGAATAATTAAAAAAACTGTGTGTACATTAAATGAAATGTATACAACTGTTAACCACATTCTGTGCTGGCCGCATGCCCACACTCTTGTAACGCACCTGGTGCTCTCCCATGAAGACATAGAACTTTTGACTTTGGTCGCTCTGACCAACAAAAAAATCCCAATGATGACAAGAGCCCCATTGCTAAGCACAATTAATAGGAATGCCTGCCTTCTCCACCTTCAGAGTCCTCAGCTGGAAAGTAAGGGATCCAGGCTCTGTTCCGGAGTGACCAGCCATAGGGAGGCACCTCAAGAGTCCAAGCCCACACAGACAGGCACAGAGGTAAGTGACACACAGCCCCAGCAGCAACCCCAACTCCCAGATGACTGAAAGTAGGTACAGAGACCCCAGGTGAAGCCAGAACCATACTACCCCACCTGAAGGACTGACAGACAGGAGTCCATGGTGGTCGTTTAAACAGATAGGTTTGTTTTAGGGTACAGCATGGTTACTGTGCAAGAAGAAATGACGTAACAGTGTCTGTGAGCCAGAGCTCAGGCAGCGGACACAGGGGTGAAAATGTGGGAGGAATGGCCACCCTTGTGGCCCTTACCATTAGGGGAGGGGGATTTATGTCTACATGACCTGTGAGGGACTTCAGGGAATAGAAAGCCTTTCCAAAGCTTTAATTTATGGTGGAGAACTGGCTTGCCACATTTTATACAGAATGTAGAATCAAGAAGGGCTCCTGGGCCAATCTAAAGAATAGTTGCTCTGAAAACCTCACTTGAGGCAGTTCAGCAACCCTAAAAAGCCAGCTTTTCCAGGAACTCTTATGAAAGAAGAATGGGAAATAGGAGATGCCTTATAAACCAAGAAAGTGTGTGTGAGCTTGGGCAGATAAACCAAGTACTCTCCCCTCGACCCCCGACCTCCACAGGACACACACCTGAGGGCTGCGTGGGTTCCCGGTATTCTCCGCTGCTGATCTGTCGAATGAGGTTTTTGTGATCAAAACCATCGAAGGGCATCGTTCCATAAATGAGAGTGTAAAGCAAGACACCCAGGGCCCAGCTGTCCACCTGGAGCAGAGAGACAGGACACATCGGAGCTAGGACGCAGACCCCAGATGCTTTCCAAACCACTGGCCACCCATTGTACCCCCAGGAGTAGGATTTAGCACCTGGAAGGCAGGTTCCCACCACAGCCCAACAATGAAGAACACAAGCCCACCCTGTTTAAGAGTAGTCTGAAGTAGGGAACTGTCCCTGGTTCTCACAACGATCCCCTGAGGCAGGTGGGGTCTAGAATACTTTTAGCTCAATTTGAAAAATGAGAATAGAAAAAAAAGAGACCTCTAAATGGCTTCCCCAGAAAAGCCCCTTCCAGGTAATGGAGGTGCCTAACACAAGAATCCGATCCTCCCTTCACCACCTCAGAGGGCTCAAGGGTTCCAAAGTCAAACCCTGACAGAGCCAGGCAGACAATAAACACACACAAAAGCAAGAACGAACTCGGGGTGTAAATGGGGACAGTTGGGGACAGAGACAAAGTGTAGCGTGCATTCATCCATCTCAGGCAGGCAGTTTCTTCACAGCTTATACTACCATGCACAATTGTAGGCCCAGCACTGCCAGAGTGTTTGGTTTTTACAGAGAAGTCAGAAATAGGACTTTTCTGGGGAATCTCTCAGCTATTAAATGTTTGTTCATTTTTTTTTTAAGGGAGATGAATGTGGCCAAATAAAGCATGCTTGCTGACCAGACCTGAGGGCCAGCTCTGCACCTCAGACACCAACCACCAACGACCAAAGAAGCATCCAACAACAAATTTATAGGCCTGTTTTAACATTTTTCCAAACTGAACCCTATGTTCATCCCTTATATTTTAGTTTTGAAGACCTTCTCTTGACTTTAACTGCTGGTGATTCTTGGCATTCTTCCCTTGATCCCAGCCCAGCCACCAGAACACTCTCAGACGGACAAACATTCGGAGGAAAGCATTTCTACACACCAAGCAGCTGCTATTTAAAGGCTAAGGGCTGGGTGAACCTCCGCAAGGGGAGGCTCACCATCCGACAAGAAAAGTTACTAACTCATAGTTCCACAGACGCTGCGCTGGCTGATTTCTGTTGATTTGACACAAGGCAAGGTCACCTGGGAAGAAGGGGCCTCAACTGAGAAAAAGGCCTCCATCAGAACGGCCTAAAGGCCAGTCTGTGGGCACGTTCTTGGTTAATCGGACATGGGAGGGCCCGTCCACTGGGGGCAGTGTCAACCCTGGAAGGTGGTCCTGGGTCATACAAGGAGACAGGCTAAGTGAGCCACACAGAGCAATCCTGTAAACAGTTCTTCCACGGTCTCTGCTTCAGTTCCTGCCTCCGGGTTCCTGCCTTGAGTTCCTGCCCTGACTTCCCTTCACGATGGACTGTGTGCTGTAAGATGAATTAAACCTGCTCTCCCCCAGCTGCTTTTGATCGTGCTGTTTATTAGAGCAACTGAAAGCAGGCTAAGCAGATGTGTCTCTAACAGTGACCATGAGAGAGAGCCCTTCTAAGGCATGTCACAAAATGCATTTCTCATGAAAGAGAAGATGCCACTAAAATTTATTTCCTTAAACATACACACTACTAAATATGGGCAAAAGAGATAGACACCGAAAACAGTTTTCTTTGTCCTCTTTATTTTGATACAATAGGGAAAAATTAAGTGTCTAAAGCCAGGGAAATTATTAAATATATAATAATATATGCTAAAGCAAGATATTATGTGGTTATTACAAATAATATGTTAATAATGACATTGGAAGGTGTCACAAAATAATTATAAATTGGCAAGAAGTGTGTGTGTGTGTGTGTGTGTGTGTGTGTGTGTGTGTGTGTGTGTGACAGAATGCATAACTTGCCCTTTACTTAACTTGATTTCAATTATTTTCAGATGATCTCAACTATTTCCAAAAATGTTACCTTGGAAAAAATCTAAAAAAATCAAAGAACTCCTAAGCAGCTGCCGTCCAGTGGAACAGGCATCTTTATCTGCTCTTTTAGGATTCTCTTAAGGTTTTCCCACATCTTCTCTAGGGCCTGTATTAATGTTCCTAAAATCAAACGATGGCAAGTTTTCTTTGTTTGGTCTTTGGGAGTTTTAAGAACTTTCTTGCCTCCCTTCCTCCTCTCCCTCCAGCTCTCCCATCCCCACACCTGCAGGCTGCTCACCTCTGGCCCTCGGTAAGGCCTCCCATTGACAATCTCAGGAGATGCGTAGAGTGGGCTCCCACAAAACGTCTGCAAGTACTTGTCCTTCTGGTACAGGTTGGAAAGCCCAAAGTCAGCGATCTGCAAAGGGAAGCGAGACCCAGAGAGCTCTGTTACAGAGTGAAGTGTCTGCAAACTGTTTGGTACCACCCAGGGCAGACAAGGACACCTGGGCCACCACTGTCTCTCTAGTCCTTAGTCTGCATCAAACAACCAATGCTTCCCACTGCAACCAATACCGGTATGGCTAAACTATAAAACATCAAGGTTCTTAATGAACTGCTTCCTCCTCGAACAAAACCACCAGTGGAGGACCAAGTGTTCAAACACATGAGTTTTGGGGGGACATTTCACATGTAAACTACAGCATCCCAATAACAACAGCTACCACAAAAATCGCCACTTCGTGTTCCAAATAAGCATTAATGTGCGGGGTAGGCCTCATCTATAGAGTATATTCAAATGTTACAAAGGGATACTTAAAACATTCAAAAATACTATCCCCTGTATCTGCTATATTTTTTTTCTGTACATGCATGACTAGGATAATTTATAAATCAAAACAGTAAGAGATTTGTAATAATATATAATAATAAAATGGAACAATTATAATAATATACCTAAATAAAATTAACAGGCAGCATCATTGCGCTGGCACTTTGTGCCATGATTACGTAAAATAAGGTCACCTGAACACAGGTACTGCAACAGTCAATTTGACAAATGGGACAACTAGTGAGTGACAGTTGGGTGGGTAGCATATACAACATGGATACCCTGGATAAATAGATGATTCATTTCCCACCAAGACAGATGGTACAAGACTACATCACACCATTCAGAATGGCACACAATTTAAAACATATAGATTGTTTCTGGAATGTTTCATAGAATAGTGTGGGTATTTAAAGGCATGGAAACTGAAGTCCCAGTTAAGAGGAAGCAGGATTTTGAATTGTTTTAGTTTGCTGTACTGAGGACTGGGCCTAGGGCCTCGGGCATGCTAGGCAAGCACTCAACCACTGAGCTACATTCCCATTCCTCACCTTTTCCCTTTCCTGTAACACTCAGGACTAAACACAAGACCTTAGTCCTTTCATTATTATTATTAATAACGAATCTTAGTAAGTTTCTCAGAATGGCCTTGAACTAACTGTATTCCAGGCTGAACTGGATGCTGTGACTCTCCTGCTTCAGCCTCGACCTGCTGGGACGAGAGGTGTGCCACCAGTCCTGACTAAGGGGGACTAGTGAGTAACTCTTCATTTCACTACGCCCACAGTGGAATGCACGTCACACTGCAGAAAATCCTGACTCGTGCTGCTGACGCCACCACCTTTTCACCACCATATGCGTTGTATATGCAGGTGACGCAGGATGAAATTCAAATTGTGAATCATTACATTTCAGCCTAAACTCTACCGCTGGCCAACTGTGTGACGTGGAGATCACCACACCAGCTCCAAGCCAGGCATACCACCAGAGGACAGAAGCCCAGGACCTCTACCTGTCCCATTTCACAGGCCTATTATGAGAATAAAAAGAAAACCATCACCTGAGATATGATGGAACACACAAGAGTCCTCCCTACTGTGTACGTTCAGTGTGAGTGTTTGACATAGCCTCACTTCTGTAGTATTGTGCTCACTGTTCTCTGTAACGCCCTTCAGAGCACTGCTGTTACATCTGTATGCGTAGAGTACATGTGCACACATATACGCATCTGTACATACATACACGTCTGCCTTCTCTACCAGACTCTGAGTTCCCTGTGGCCGGTTCCACATTTTTGTACCGCCCTCCTAGCAGCTGCCCCTGGCCAAGACATACTCATCACTGAAACAGGCACTGTGTTTTGAAAAGCATAAGAAAATAATAGTTATATAAAATAATAACAATCCCAATTACCATTTCTTGAAAACTGTCAATTATCCAACCCCATTGAGTCCTCTAGTCCAATTCTATCAAAAACTGTATTTATAAAAATACGAATATACTTTTTGTCAAATGTCATAAGGTCACCTAATACTTTGGATTTAAATTTTTTAAATGCTCAAAAATGTCAATTTTATGTTATGGTAATTTTATTTTTATACCATGCATATGTGCGTCTCTCAAACTTCAGGCTCCTCAGTCTCAGCCAGCCTTGCGAACTGAACCCCTGTGTGTTCAACTATGCCCAGCCCTGATTTCCACTTGAGTGTTAGCAATGTGGTAGATGAGCCGCATGCTGGGGAGCCGCATGCTGATGCTGAATGCCAAAGAAGCTTTTTTGAATGAAGCCCCTCCAATAAGCCTACTTTTGTTTAAGAAAAAAAAAAGTCATCCTTGGATGAACGGAATGTCCTTCAAAGCAGCTGTGCATAACCACCCTTAGAAAAGGCATTCTTGGGGCTCAGATTGCACTTAACTGCTCCAAATTCCACTTGCTTATCAAGGCCCCTGACTGGCTTGCAGGAAGTTGGTGGGAAGCTTTACAAAGTGTGCCCTGTCAATCAGAATGGACCAGCTTCAGCTCTGGAGGTTCCATGGATCCCTGAGGCTTCAGCCTCTCTGCCTACAGCTGCAGCTCTGCTCAGCCACAGCTCAGGCGAATACACTCAGCAGGGCCACTACTGTCTGGGGCACACTAGAGCTTTCAAACACATGAGTGTGAGCACACACATTTGCACATGCACAGAGTTGCCTGCCCCAGGAGCTTTCACACATGGGCTGGGCATCCCTGCTTGCCACGCAGGCACTCTGGGGAAAGTGTGTTTACATTTCAGCCCACTCCCATCCTCGCAGACTGGTGCTTATCAGCCTCCCTGTAAAACTGTCATTGCCGCGGACACAAGATTAATAGAAATCTAGATTAGCCGTGTTCTTGGCCCTTGAATGGAAAAGCAGTATTAATCAAAACACACGCAGTGTTTTCAGACCCTGAGCCACTCAGCTCTAGGATTTAAAGCCACATGGAGCTTATGCCAACTATTGCTAGTGGGGAGACACCACTGAGTGCAAATCCACTTCTCAGAAGCCTTAGTTCTCCCATCTGCAAAATGGGAGTAAGAGTCTTCCTGCCCGTGTTGTGTCATGACTATTGAATGGCATAAAACATATATAAAGTGTGTCCAACAGTGATGGCACATTTGCCTTTAAATCCTGATAGGTAATTGATCTCAGGACATGTGAGACAGTCTCCACTGTAACACTGGGGACTGTCAACAAGAAAGGATCAGAAGTTCAAGGAGCCAAGCAGTCGCACAAGTGAATTACTTTGAATTACGAAATGAAGAAGTCATTCTCTTCTCTGACATGAGTCAGGATGGTGGTGAGTCACATGGGTCACATTAAAGCATCTCCACATTTCCCAGAGAGACCCAACCGGCCTTGGGCTCACAGCCGGGAGCAGCGACCAACACCAAACAAAATAACGCTGCTATTAGTTTCTATTATTTTCACTCTTAAGCTTTTCTTTGGGTCGTGGTACTAGTTTTCCATCAAATGCCATTATTTAAGGCCTCCTTTCTAAGTAAATAACACTCTACAAAGAGACTCAAACTAAATACAAATGCCAGCAACCTGAGAAAAAGCAAAATGCACAAGCATGAGGGAAAAACTGAAATATGTGAGGATTCAATGTAAACATAACTATGCAAAACCATCACATTTTAGAACTGATTGCCAGGTAGAAGAGACCTGAATGGCAGGAAATGAAGTTGCTGGAGGTTGGGGGTCCTAAGAAGATTTGCTGACGGTCACAAGATACACGGGGTCCCTCTGGCTGCCCAACTCTGTAAAAGGACATTTCCACCCATCACTCCATCTCTAACTAACGGAGGCATGCCAGCCAGGCCAGCCCAGCTCCCATCTGGTCCTTGAACCAGCATCCCCAGCATCATTACACAGCATCTTAGAACACAGACTCCGAAGCCCCATCCTGGTGCTCTTTGGAGAAAGAGGCCTCTCTGTTTGGGGGTGGGGTGGTAATTTGTTTTTGTTGTTGATGCTGATGCTAAACTGTTGCCCTGTCCCATACTGGATCAGAACCACTCTTTGATCTCACACTACCTCCTGCATGCAGCTCAGTTCCCACCCTGAAAAGCATCAAAGAAGGTAAAGCTCATGAGTTTCATTTGGACTGTCTTTGTGGCTATCCATCCTCTGCAGAGGTGTGCCCTGCTAAGTGAAAATCGGAGTGAAAGAAATAAATTAGGGGGGATCATTCCCATGTCAGCAGGATTAACCCCACTTCAACGCAGGTGAACCCTGAAGACAAGTACAGTTTGAAATAAGCCAGGCACAGAAAGACACTCATTGTCTGATTCTATTTATACGTGGTCCCTAGAGTAGACAAATTCATAGAAACAGAGAGTCGAACGGTAGTGATTGCCGAGGGCTGGGGGCAGGAGAAGCAAGGATCCAGAACTTAATAGGCATGGAGATCCAGATGCAGAGGAGACCTGTGGTCTGCAGCCGGGTGCTGGGATGCTTCCCGCTTCTGTGCTAGACGCCCAAGTATAGTAGGTTTTCAGTTACATTATGCATATTTTGCCACCATCAAAATAGAATTAACCCCAAGGCCACTATGAATGACAAGCTCACATGATGGAAAAGGAGGGACCAGATGGTTGATTTGAACTGCTAATAAAGGAAGCTTGTGACGAAGCTTCTTAGGAATGTCTGCCAGTCCCTTGCACTGTCTTAGAGGAAGTCCCCTGCACTCAAAGACCAGAGGCTTAGGAGTCACAAGAATCAGGACTGAACTTTGACCTTGTCATTACTAGGTAATAATTGGTAGGTACCACCACGCCTCTCACTTGTCTATCTGCAAAATGGGCTCAGAGCTCTCATCTATAGAGTTGTTAAAAGGACTGAAGACTTTAAGTTACAGCCATCTCCATTAACAGCTGGAGGCCAACTCAGAACAAGAGACGATTTTCACCCACGTATAAGAGAGGCAGGTCCAGTGTGAGTGGCTACATCACAGGACAGGAAAAAGCTTAAGTACTCTAGTTCCAACCCCAGCTCCATCCCTTTCCAGCTCTGAGGCATGCCAGTCGGTCTACCACTGGATCCTACCTGGTCCTTGACCCAGC